AGACCCAACATATGTATGTGAGATGCATGAAGTTGAGTCGATCCTAAGGTTGGTACCTAATATCAATCAATATGAATGTGTGATGTGAGGTTGAGTTGTTGTTGCCAAGAATCAACTAAGATGTATATGTTTAGTGTAAGGTAAGTCATCCTAGGATATGGGATCTAAAAAAGAAAAAGTTTTAGAGAAGTACTTTAGTGTATTAGTATTAAAACTACATTTATGATAGATTTAATGAGACGGGGTCTAAAAAAGAAAAAGTTTTAGAGAAGTACTTTAGTGTATTAGTATTAAAACTACATTTATAATAGATTTAATGAGATCATTAATTCTATTGATAGCTTTAGTCATATGTTGTCTAAGTGTAAGGTGGTGAGAGAATTACAAACACGATGTCTTGTGATTATAAGATACATGTGTTAGAATGAATAATGTTGTCAAATGTTATACTCTATGTGAACTGTTAGCCTTAATCATATGTAGACTAAGGTGTTAGATAATGAAAGAATTAGTGGTAGCATATCTTATGATTATAAGAAACATATGTTAAAATATGTAGTGGTGTCAATAATTCTACTTTATGTATAAAGTAACCATAATAACGTTAGGATCAAAGAATACTTTATATAATATTGATCACACATTGATTAGTTTTTTAGAATATAGTATTTATTTTTCAAAAGATGTTTAATTATGATAGATGTGATGCCGTGAAAACAATATTTATAAAATGATACCTGGAAACAAAATGTCTTATTTATATATGACCTTTAAATTATTAGTGTGATTTACCCAATTTTTTTATCTCTTTGACTCAATTGATTTGATGATATTTTCTTATCTTTTTAACTCAATTGATTTGATGATGTTTTCTTATCTTTTTAACTCAATTGATTTGATGATGTTTTTTATATACGAAGACGGATGGAGGTGATTGATGAAATCATGGTCTCCAACAAATTTTATTTTTAAGATTTTACTAAAAATATATTTTAGTCCCCAACAATTTATTTGTTTAGATTGATTCATGAAATTAATTTTTTGGTTTTGTCTCTAACAGAAAAAAAATAAACAAAAAGAATAATCCAAGTATACAAATATTATATATATATAATATTTATTTATTTATTTTATATTTTATTAAAAATAATTTATGATATGATATATATTTTATTATATCTACTTTATTTATTTCTTATTTTTCAACAATTTAATATTATAATACTGACTTGTAAAATGGTTATATAAATGTTTGTAAAAAAATAGAAACTATTTTTCATAAAATATAATTTATTTATACATAAGTTAATTTGTAAAAATTCTTTTACATAATTTCTTTAAAATTTTATTTTTAATTTATATATAAACTAATTTTAACTTATAAGAAAAAAATAAATTCATTTTATTTCATATTTTTCTTTCTTAAAATTCTTTTCGAAAAGAAAAAAGTAGTTCAAAAGTTAAAACATGTTTAACTACTTTTGAGTTTAATAGAATAATTATACTATATTTTTCCTACAGACTTATTTTTGGAACTCATTTGAACTAACAATGCATAAATTTTGAACGTAAATTAATTTTAAAATACTTATACTTACCCCATTCCAAACTACGAAATATTAGCTTTTAATAATAATAACAATAAATTATTTTATTAGTATCACTATCGTAAATGCAGATATATCTACAATACTCATTGTATTTATTTATTTATTTATTTGCAAAATAATACATTATTTGTTTTTTTTTCTAAAAGGAATTTAGAAAATTATTAGTACTTATCTGTTTAGAGTACTACTGACAGTTGGGTTGGAAGTGGTCCGGAGGATGTCTCATGATAAGGTGACCTTCCAATCAATGTTCAACAAAAATAAATAAATCAAATTTAAAACATCAATTATTACAATTAATTAAGATCAAAATACGTTTTAAATTTTTTATTTTTGTTAAATTGATTTTAGTTACATAGCTTTATGTAAATATTAGATTAATTGAAATTTATTTTACCGGAAAGAAAATTTAAATAATGATTTAAAATATGAAATCATTTTTATTTTTAATTTGAAATTCTAAACATAAAAAATTTAGATGACAAGGAACTGATAAATAAATAAATATTATATTAAACTTATTTTTTCAATAAAAATATTACTAGATGTGTATAGAAAAGTATTTCTAATCTTAACTTTAATATGTTAATCTTAATGTACACTAAAACAATGGATTGGTAGTGTCATCTTCTCGATGTTTTCATTTCAAATTTTAATTAAATGTCATTCATCATAATTTTTTTTGTTTACATGTATCTACCTTTTCATAAACTTTTTCAATATTTTGAAAATCAATTATAAAAAAATCATAAAATTTATAATTTATAGAGTTTTGTATATGCAGTCCTTTGATATATTTTTCAATTAAAAATTATAGATTTTCTAATTTTATATTTTACACGATAGTTAGGTTTCTATTGTTATCCTCTCACATTTTCATTAAATTTCTATTTATTATATTGGTTTATATTTATACTTTTTCATTTTTTTCTTTCATTATTTTATTTTTTTCGTTTAGAATTCTAATATCAATTAATTTTGTAATTTATCTCCATGTACCATACATTTTCAAAAATCAATTAAGGAGACTAAAACAATTTTAATCTTCAATTACAATACCATATATTTTGACCCGATTCAATTCCATAAGATTACAAAACTTTATAAAAAAAACATTCTTTAATACAAAAAAATAATTATTTCGACTTTTTTTAACATTTATATTTAATTTTAATCATTATTTTCTCTTATTTACTGTATTATATATTTATTCTTCATTCTAAACTTATATTTCAAGAGATAGAAAATTTTAGCTCATAAAATAACTTAATTTAATGATGTTTAATTTCGAGTAATAACACATTTTCACTACAGATCGGATATTTATCGACGGATTTATAACCGATCAGAAAATAATTATTATCGATGGATATAAAATATTTGTGGAATTTGATTTTACCGACGGATATATCCGTCGGTAAATTCATTTGTAAATTACCAACGGATATTTCATCTGGTAAATTAACAATTAGTAAATATTCACTTAATTAAAAAATTAAATATTTTTTATTTAATAATTTAATTTAATCATAATTAGATTAATTTATAATAATTTCTTAAATTAAATATTTTTAAAAAATAAATATTTAATTATATATAAAATAAAAATATATAAATATATAAAATAAAAATATAAAAATATATAAAATATAAATATAATTTATTTGTAAATTATTATCAAAAAATTCCAGTAACTTAGTGGTTGGAGTATCGCCTCTAACTCTAAGTCGTGAGTTCGAAAAATAATAAAAATATTACTAACGGATTCCTTTCCGGTAATATTAAAATTTCTTGTATTTATCTGGTGAGTATAAGAGAGAGTAGTAATTATATTTTTAAGTAATTGAAGAATACAATTTTAAAAAGTGAATTATAAATTAAATTATTATCATTATTAAATTACATGTACTATTCGATATATGGTGTAATAAGATAAACAGACAAAACCATCTCCATACCCAAGCAGCGACTAACATGAAACTCTTATTATGTTTTCTTTTACATAGACAGAAGACAAAATTAACAAATTTATGCAAATAGAAAAAAAAATCCAATTTTTTTAAATTTTAAAATTTTTCCTCTATTTCTGATTTTATAAATTTTTTATTCATTATAGATTTTCTTTTTCATTTTTCGTATAAAGGATTCAAGTAAATGTTATTTTACAAATGAAGGATAATAAAAGTTTTATAAAAACTGTTCAAAAAATAAAATGAAGCTTTATTGGATTAGTAGAAGGTTGAGAAACAATAAACTTGTATGTTGCTTTGAATATGTACACTTGAGTTTATATTTTTTTATTACAAAATAATATATATATATATATATATATATATATATATATATATATATATTTTACAATTTTACTATTGTATTTTCACTAATCATAATAAAAACAACAATGACCACATCCATTATCATAATACATAAAAATTATCAAAATATTATCTGACTAAGAGTATTTTTTTTAGTTATAAATTATTTATTTATATTATATATATTAAGAATGATCAAATTATGATTTATAAAAATGGACATTAAATCATTTTAAATTAATATAAAATTTCGTATATATGATTTAAGAGAGGAAATATATTAAGAAAAAAATTATTCAATTGAAACTATTGATTAAAATAACATTTAGTAAAAGTTGCATATAATTTTTGTTTATTAAATATTTATATTAACTTGTGTTGATAAAAACAGGTAGTAAAATGATTAATTTTTTTATGGAATATAAGCAATCACCTACAAGGTTTTTATTTCTATGCAACCTGTCATTTGATGAAATTCAACTACCCTTTGAAAGCAGGTTTCAAAGTTCCAACAACCATTATCATCATTTACCAGAAATTGTTGAATCAAAAGAAACAAAATTCAGAACTCAGAAACCAGCATGCTTCAAGAACAGTGTTCAAAAACTTCCAAGAAGTCATTGCAATAACTAATGAATCATCATAATAGTTATGGGCAAACTTTAAATTCGAACTTTACAAAAGAAAATAAAGTGTGAAAGAACAACATAATCTAAAAATAAAAGTGCTTTTTGTATTCATAGAAGAAAAACCGCATCTTAATTATCACTATTTATATCAATAAAGAGCAATTGTCCTCTTATATATAATTGTGAGAGATGAACAAGGAAAAGGAAAGAACACAAATTTAACCAGATTCATTCATTATAAGAAGAAGAAAGGAACTGGATTCAAAGAAAGCAAGAAGTCCAGAAAACCCAAAAAAAACAAGGGCATCGAGTTTCCTTACAACAGTTCAGCGGTTTGCATCAATCAGCGTTTGATGCACCCAAAAGGAAAGCATATGTTTTTCTATACAAATTATGAAATTTCACAGAAGAAAATGAAGAAAATTAAATTAAAGCAATAATAATATTCAGCGGAGGTAGCCATAGAAAGGGAGAGGAGTACTTGCACGATTCAAGCTTCCAAGGGGTTCTGCAGTTCTCTGTTGAACTATGACCACTGTTTCTGCAACGCTCATGACGAATTCTATGGCCAATCGAACCATGGTTATGCACAATTCTAGTCGGTGGATCACCATCACTCCTCTGATCTGTTGTTCTCTTTTCTTCTCTTTTGGTACTTTCTCACTCCAATGGCTTATCACAATTGGGTTGGATTATCTCCTATCTGTGTACTCTGTGTGCGATTATATAATACGACGACGCTGTTTCTGTTTACCACTTATACGTGATACAGTGTAAATGAATGACGGGCCCACATCGAGAAAGAAAAGAGAGAGAACGCTGTTTAAAATACTATGGTTGAGTACTAAGAAATATTAGCTTGTCAGTAGTAGTTCTCATATTATGTCAACTGATCGGTCTATTCTTTTTCATTATTTCAGTTTAATCATGTAACTCCTCGGTTAACTTTTGAATTAAATATTTTTTAAAAATATTTAATTTAATAATAAATTTATTCCATTTATTTAACTATAATTGTTTTAGTAAAAGATATATATATATATATATATATATATGTATATATATTTAATCTATCACGTTGTTACAGATCCTCTATGGTATTAATTGGATTTTGTTTTAAATTAAAAAATATATATTGAAGCATTATAAAAATTTACAAAATAAACCGTTCAAAATTATGATAAAATTAAATATATGTAATAAATTTATTTTATTTTCTAATGTGTATTTCCATATTTTAGAATAGTCAAATTCATAGAACGATTTAAACTAAAAGATGCGTTTCAAGTGTTACAAAGTTATATTGTATTACTATTTAAGTTTAATTGTAATTTTAGAATTTAAAATTAGAGAGAATTCGATTTTGATTTTTCAAATTTAAAGGTATACTTTAGTCTTTAAATTTAAAATAGGGTAAATTATCATTTTGATCTTTTAAGTATAAATCAATAGTAATTTAGTTCTGAAAAGAATTTTAGTCATTAAATACGTAATTAATCTTAAAAATACTATTTAATATCAAATTAGAACTTAAATATTACAGATACAATGATCTCACAAACCTTAATAATAAAACATAATTATCATAAGACTAAATAAAAAAATTATTCTTCCAAATACTAAATAGACACCAATTAATACATTTTACTCTTTAAAAACAACTATTTACTCTTTAAAAATATATTTTTACTTTGTGAAAAAAGTTACTATTTATATTTAATTATGACAACAACATAGGTTGTTTCTTTTTCAATTTAGAGATGATGTAAAGGTGATTTTTCCTTTCAAATTTGATATTAACCACAATTTAACATTTTGGACTGGTCTTACCTAACCAGTCAAGTCAAGTTATCAAATTAGATATTTAATTCACATATGTGTGGTAGATATTTTTTGTAAATTTTAAATTATACACATAGTTTTGCTATATTTAATATGAAATAATTCATACTGTTTAACTGCTTATACAGTGATACAATTTGGTGATTTCACCAAGTGAGAGTGACTGATTAAATGATGTGTACAGTTCTTGAAACAGTGATATTAAACCCTTCTATCACTATCTTTATCATAGTCATAATTGTTATTTATTCATTTATTATAGTGTTTGTGAAAGTGAAATAAAAGAGAAGGCACAAGATGATTTTGATGGTGGGGCAGTACATCTCATCCCATGATGTTTATCTTTGAAATTTAATTTTGAAGGGACCAAAATTGGCCGTTCCATTTACCAAGGGTCAAGTGTTCTTCAACCTCTAACTCCTTTCTCCATTTCAATTACTACTTTCTCTTACTCCCCTCTATTTTAGGGTAATTATTAACACTACGTATATCATATAATTATTTTTAATAATCTATTAATGATTTAGATTATCAATTTTTTTTTATAACATTAAATCCTAAATTAAAAAAAATATATAACATGATAAGAATTGCACTCCAATAATCATTGGAAAGTTTATTCATTCACCTTTTTGTAATGATTGAGAGTGCATGCAATGCTCTTTATTAATTGACAAGATATATTAAGGTTAATTATAATTAACTTAATAATATTTTAAACGAGCCAACGGTGCTTTTGTCAAAAAAAAAAAACTTATATTTACAATGAGATTGCAATGCAAGTTATTAATTAGTCCGTTTTGGCCGAAAAAAAAAAAGGGACGCTGCCGGTGATTTACATTAGATTTATGATATGAATGTTTTGACCAGACCGTTTGCGGACTGACCCGCATGTAATAATTAAATTTAAAAAATATATATAAATAAATAATACATTGCATATTTTTATTATAATTTTAATTCATACATTTTAAAATAAAATATAATAATAATTTATCATAAAAAATTTAATTTTTATAAATTTTAATTAATTCTTATTTTTTCTTAATGAATAAATTCAATCTTAAATTTATAATTTCTCTCTATATTTATTTGAACAGTATGAGATTCAAACTATAATCTCTCTAATTTTTGTTGATTTTAAATCAAAGTTAAAGAAAGTAATCAAAGTAAAATCTATTAGTAATTTAAAAGTAATAAATAATTATATATTAAATTAATATTAATACTAAAAATTAATGAAAGTATAAAAATAAAAATAAAAATTAATTAATAATATAAATTTTATAAAGAACCTATTTATTTAAATATTTTAAAAAATATAAATTACGTGTATCGTTCATCTGTCCCGTGTAGACGGCAGATTATGCTGTACAAATTAAACAAACTTTAAATTAAAAATACTTATCCCCTCCCGCATTTTAATGACAAATTTAAAATTGGATGAAAAAATGGACATGTGGCCCAGCCCGTAAAAATTGGAGTGGACGCTGGCTGGTGTGTTATAATCTATACGAATTATAAATTTTAATCCGTCCTCTAAAGATTGGTAGGTCAGTCTATTGATAATTTTTTTTTATATAAAATTTTTCATATATATTTTTAAAAAAATATATCTTTAATTACATGATTATTTGAAATTTTTTTATTTTTTATTTAATATATTTATTAAATAAATTTTAAAAATATTATATTTATATATTAAAATAATTAATTATAATCAATAATTTAAATTTAATTAATTAATTTTTATAATATAATTATAATATTACAATATATTTATATATTTTAATAATATAATATAAAAAATATAATATTTTAATTTTAATTTTAATATATAAATATTATTTTAAAACAAAGTAAATCATCTCCTATTGACTTACCAAATAAAATAAAATGAGTCAAAAACAAATTCACAAACTAAAACCACTTACCTATCTACAATTTTTTAGACCTAGGAACCATAACTTATTTTGTTGTCAATAGATAAAAAGTTGACCCATATAACTCTTCCTCGTTACAAATTTGGTAATAAGGGAAAAACATTGTTTTGGAAACATATTTTAATTACACATTGTTTAAATTTTTGAAAATGGTTTTTTAAATCCAAATTGAATCCCTTCTTTTATGATTTTCCAAACTAGCATAACTAATGTAATTATTTGACAAAAAATAATTATCTTTTAAAGAAAGAACCACAAAAATATTATTTTTACGTTTTAAATAAGCAACCATAAAAAATAAATATTGTTTTTGAAGTCCAACTGATTTAACTCCCTGTTTGGTTATAACTATTTTACACAATCTAGTTTATCACAATTCAAATTTTGTGACCTTTGGCACAATTTTCTTTCCTCTTGGTGGAGTTGTTCTACTCCATTCCCTCTCGTAAATCTTCACTTTATTACTTCTCCTTCAAAGCTCCAGAGATAAATAAAGGACCACTCAAATATTTACATATAATAAAATATTAAAACAAGCTTAATTATTTGTTTGCTGAGAGGAATGATATTTTTTTATTTAAGTAAAAAAATTATAAAATAAATTTAGATAAAATAAAAAAAATGTGTTCTTTTTTTCATGACATCCCATGTAACCCTTTTCCTCTTGCAGTGGTTGTTTAAATTAAAAAAAATGAAAACATGAAGAAAAATAATATATAAATTCGTTAATATAATGAATTAAAAAAATATTTTATTTAAAATTTAGTAAAAATAAATATAAATTATAAATGAAATATAGTTGAGCAATAAATAATTATTTTTTAAATTCATATTAAAAATTTATAAAATCGTATTTATTAATAATTTTTTTCATTTATTTATTGACAAAAACTAATTAAATTATAAGATAAAATTTAATTTTAATGGTTTTTTATATTTTCCCATTATTTGATAGTTTAATCAATAAAAAATACTAATAACAATATTTATCTACATAATAATTTGGAGAAATATTAAATATTAAAAATAATAAAATGACAAATAACTTATAAAGTGTGAGAATTTTTATTTTGAGAAAAAACAAACAAACAAAGGATCCAAAATTAGCGGTGTAATTGTGATTCAAAAAAATATTTGTTGACTTTAACTTTATTCCTAAAAGAGTTTAAACATGCTTGATATATATATATATATATATATATATATATATATATATATATATATATATATATATATATATATATATATATATATATATATATATATTTCATTATATAATTACGACATAAATGTAATCTTTGATTGTTTCAGTTACACAAATCCACCATATTCTTTTAACTTTGTGAAAGAATAAAGTATCGTAGTAGTTTTGGGTATAATATTTCCATGAGATATCTTCTTTATTTTTTTTTTACTTTTTATCTTATGTCTTGAATAGATTTTTTTTTTTATATTATAGAGATAAAAATTATAAAAAAAGAAAAATTAAAAAATTAAAAAAAAATTATAACTTTTATGTCCTCAAATGTAAAGAAAAATATTGTAAAAAATTATTATTATAATCATAGTAAATTTTTACAAAAGTTTCAAATATAAATATACTAGAGAGTAGACGATAAATAATTGTTGAAATAAAACAAAAACATCATATAATAAATATATATTATTTAAAATTGATGTAACTAATATAAAATAAAATATATTATATCTTTTATAAAAAATTATATTAAAAATTTGATTTTTATTTTTTTTACCAAATTGGTTCAATAAACTTTTTTTTACTGATTTTTCAATTTTATTCCAGTTTTTTCGATTTTATTATGATTTAATTAAAAATTTTAAAAGTAATGAATCGAATTCTAGGCTGATAACCAGTTAAATCGATTAAACCGGTCCATGTGACAATCTGATTTTCTTACTGTCCCTCCCTTAAAATAAAAATAATTATTACTCGTAAAGTTAGTATAAATTGTTTGGTGTAAAGACGAGTATCTCCCACCTAATTTTTACTATAATAATATTATTAGAGTTAAGTATAATATTTGATATATTGTTTACTTTAAAACACTAATTAATTATAATTTTATGCTTAAGTCATTATTTAGATTAAATAGTGAATTTGAAGGTGCGAAACATCCGAGAAAGATAATAGAGTGGCATGATCAGTTGCGACACATGCTTATTTAAAATTTTTCTTTTTCTCGTATGGCCCATGTCCATGCAAAAAAATTGTAGAGAAAGAGAGAAAACAGTATTGGACCCAACATTGAATGATCCATGGCCCAACACAAGTCACCTCTCAGGAAGATAACCCATGTAGCCGTTGAATATTTGAATCTGTGATGTAATTATGGACCCACATGAAATGACCAGAAAGCCCTTGTATTTCAAATCCCCAAACCGCGATTACATTAACTTTTACACATTTTTGAATACTTGATCAAATCTCAGCCGTTCACTGCAAAGACCCTTTTCCTTACATCGATTTCAACTGCGATTTTCATTTCAAAAAAAATTCTCGCAGCAACAACAACGAGAGTGAGTGAGAGAGTGCGTGAGTGGGCAAATGAATGACTTGAATCTATGATGAACTTGAACTTCCAGTTCAATCTCAAATACTTAGCTACAGCTCACTGAACTCATATTGAAACAACGTAGAAAAAACCGAAGCAATTTCAGCACTCCTCAAATTTTTCGCTTCGGAATCTTGTTCTGCAACTCTTCCTTCAGGTGCTGCGAATTCCCAATTCCTTACACGATTTTAAACTCGCTTTCTTTTCTTTAATTTTTTATAAATGCTTTTTGCGTAATTTGTGAATTTTCATTTTCATTTCGCTATAGAATGCTGAGGGATTTCAAACTCCCACGCCGAAACCCTGGAAAAAACGAAGAACCGGAGAATGTGGATCCTTTGGACTCATCCACCACGGTTCAGAGGCACGCGGAAGGTTCTAGATCTCCGTTGCACACAATTCAAGAACCTGATGCGCATTGCGTGAGCAAGATTGAGAGGACTCCTTCGAAGGCCAACAACAAAGCTCGCGGAGGAGCTGAGCTTCGCACGCCGGATAAGCACGGAGGAGGTAGCATGCTGTGGAAACACCGGTTCGGCTGGAATCACAAGAACGACGCGGTTTCCTCGTTCGGTGACGATAGGAGAGGACCTAGTTTTGGGAATGTGACTCCTCGCGTCCCTCGCACTGTGGGGAGAGCTTCTTCGAGTGTCACGGCTTGTTCCGAGAGCAACTCCACGCAGAGCACTCCGACTAAGAGTGTGACTAAGCCGCCTCCGAGTTCAAGTGTTCGGAGCAAAGCTGATGGAGGAGGCTTCAGTGCTCGTTTGGGGAATTATGCTGCATTGTATAAAGGGGTTCCCAGTTCGGCTTGCCTGACTCCCACGGTTGTGAACACGGTCGAAGTGCCTCACTTTGATCTCAAGGAAGATTCTTCGTTTTGGATTAACCACAATGTACAGGTGAGTGATCCAGATATCTATGTACTTGATTTGATTTGATTTGGATGAGAAGGTTTGTTTAATTTTGGTGCTTATTGTGATTTGTGGTGTGAATTTTCGTTCTGTATAGGTTATTATTCGTGTTCGTCCTCTCAATAGCATGGAGCGATGTACACAAGGATACAACAGATGCCTGAAACAAGATAGCTCTCAGAGCATTAGTTGGATTGGGCATCAGGAAAACCGGTTCACCTTTGATCATGTTGCATGTGAAACCGTAGACCAGGTCTGGTTACATTGAAATGATTGTTTTTAGGTGCTAGGGAAGGAGTCGTTAATTTGTGTCTCTGGTTTATGGTTGTGTAGGAAATGATTTTCAGATTGGCTGGTCTTCCAATGGTAGAGAACTGCCTTTCAGGATATAATAGTTGTATGTTTGCGTATGGACAGGTAATATCCTGATCTTAGGCACTGTTCGAGGTTATTTAATAGAAACTGGTCGTATATGAAAGGAAATAGATGATATTCTAAGGGAATAACTCCTTTACTGCAGCAATATAACTCCCGCTCAGAAAAAGAAACCAGTAAAAACAGAAAATGGCAATGCAGCAAAGAAGATAACTCGTCCCCTACCATTCTTTCCCAAAGGCAAATGCCTAATCAATTCCTCACCATTTTTCCGTTCCCCCCTTCTGCTACTCTATCGCCTAACCTATAAACACGTCCTCCACTATCTTTCCCATCATAATATTCCACTCCGATGTCCTCTTGTCGTGTGTACATTCTGTTATGCATATTACCCATTCTGTTTTTGCATTTCCAGGCTTAGCCCATTTGTTTTCAGCTCATCACCCTTCCTTTTGCCCCTTCTCTTTTAAGGGTTAAAGGCCCAACATTATGTCATTGTCTTTTCTCTTAATTGTTTGTCCTTATAAAGCGAAGAAAAATTCAGGCATCTGTTCACATGCATAACAACAGACTTCTGTGCACATGTTTCAATCTATTGCTATTTGGATAATCTTGTGATTGGAACTTAAAAATGAACTTTTGGTATCATCTGTAATCTCCGTGAGTGTTCGGTCAGCTGCCATGTTTTCCCATTGCCGACAGTGATAATTAACTCCCAAGTTTTCGTACATCATAATTAGGAGCTTCAGTTTGCCACTGTTATGGTTTATGTCAATAAGAATTATGAATTAGGGATCATAAGATGCCTATCACAACTTTGACATTTTAAAGTTTTTTTTTTATGCAGCATTTTAGTTCTCTGTTCAGTATAGTGATCATTTATCACAGACTTCTCAGTTGTAAATTCTATGTCACCTGTTGAGAGAGTGTATGCTCAGTTGTTGTATAACATGATTAGAAATAGACAGTAAGTGACATTTTTTAACTGTAAGATGATGGAAGAGTCTTTTAATTTTGCAGACAGGAAGTGGGAAAACATATACAATGCTCGGTGAAATTGAAGATTTAGATGTGAAGCCTAGTCCCCATCGTGGAATGACTCCACGAATATTTGAGTTTTTGTTTGCCAGGATCCAAGCTGTAATCTTTTGTGGCTAATTCATTTTTTTTTTATATATATATATATATATATAATCAGTATTGATCATTCATCCATATTTATGTTTTACATTTGTTCTCTCAATTGAATTTCCAGGAAGAGGAAAGCCGAAGAGATGAGAACTTAAAATACAATTGCAAGTGTTCTTTCTTGGAGATTTACAATGAACAAATTACCGATCTACTTGATCCCTCCTCTACTAATTTGCTGGTAAGTGTAGTATTTCACTCATCTGATGACTGTCAAAGTATTTTTTATTTATTTCTCATTGGCCCTATTTTTCATAATAGCTGCGTGAGGATGTCAAGAAGGGTGTTTATGTTGAAAATTTATCCGAGTTTGAGGTTCAAAGTGTGAGTGACATTATAAGGCTTCTAATTCAGGTACATCTGTATGACCATCTTGTTCATTTTAAGGAATCTCCAAACGATTCCCCATCTTTGTTATTAAATGCACTTTATTCCATTAAGTTGTAGTTTCTGACATGTAGGGATCTGCAAATAGAAAAGTTGCCGCAACAAATATGAACAGAGAGAGCAGTAGGTCCCATAGTGTTTTTACATGTGTAATTGAGAGCACATGGGAAAAGGATTCTACAACTAATTATCGTTTTGCAAGGTTAAACCTGGTTGATCTTGCTGGCTCTGAAAGGTATACATTAAATTGAACCAATTGTATCTTGGGAACTGGGCAATGTAAGTGAATTCATATTAACAGAGTTATCATTAACATATATAACAGACAGAAGACTTCTGGTGCTGAGGGGGAGCGTTTAAAAGAAGCTGCTAACATCAATAAATCATTATCTACATTGGGGTATTTTGATCTTACTGCATGAAGATTTAAATTGTCATATTTCTGTTTTCTCATCGAGTAACTAGTATTCTCTAATCATTCTTGCAGTCATGTTATTATGATATTAGTGGATGTAGCAAATGGGAAGCAGAGGCATATCCCGTATAGAGACTCCAGACTAACGTTTCTTCTTCAGGTTGATTTATGTGCTGGTTTCCTTTGAATATTTAGTCTCAAAGTTAATCGTTATTCATCATTATTTGGCATAAACATCAGGACTCTCTTGGTGGAAACTCCAAAACAATGATCATTGCCAATGTTAGCCCTTCTATCTGGTCTGTATCTGGAAGTATATATCCTTTATCTAAATTTACAACTTGCCATAGAAACTTGATGGAGCTTTACTCGTTTTACTTTTGCAGCTGTGCCACTGAAACATTGAATACACTTAAATTTGCTCAGAGAGCAAAACTTATTCAGAATAATGTGAGTGCCATTCTAATATTCGTATGAATTTCTTTCAAAGGAATGAATCTTATCAACCCATCCCCCTTATTTTGTATCTTTTTCTCATAGGCTGTGGTGAACGAAGATTCTACTGGGGATGTAATAGCTTTACAACATCAAATTCGGCTTTTGAAGGTGGTGTCAATTATATCTTGTAGTATAAGCTTTGTGCCAGTTGATAATTTAACTCAAATAGAAAAATTCTGGGCCAGGAGGAGCTTTCTACCCTCAAAAGACGTCAGAATGTCTCCAGGTCTTCGTCATTTTCTTTGGCTTCTATCAGAGATATAAAACAATCACTGGAACTAGAAGACTATTGCGTAGAAAATGAAAGTGACATGGTTGACCGAAATGAAGATAATATGTCTGATTATGAATCCAGGGGCATCCGAATGTCCCACAAACAGGTATACAGGCTTTGCTAAATTAATGATAGCCAGTGGAATTGCAATTTATGTTTGAAGATTGAACCAATATTTCTATAATTTTCATGCCTTCCTTCAAGTTGTAATGAACTATGGGTAAACTAGCATACATCTACCGCTATCCTTCTAAAGTTATATAATTGTTAGCTTCTTCATGAAGTGACCGTTTTAAAATCATTTGTTGCTTAGTTAAAATCATTGGAGACAACTCTTGCTGGTGCTTTGAGAAGGGAACAGATGGCAGAAATTTCCATTAAACATCTAGAAGCTGAAATTGAACAATTAAACCGTTTGGTAATTCTCTTATGAGGTCTTCTTTCTATTGGATTTTAATATTTCAACTGTCTTCACTGGCTATCCGTGAATCTGCTGTCACGCAGGTTCGGCAAAGAGAAGAGGACACGAGGAGTTGCAAAATGATGCTTAGGTTTCGTGATGACAAAATTCGTAGATTGGAGTCCCAACTTGCTGGTTCCATTCCTACAGACACATTTTTGCAGGAAGAGAATAAAATGCTTTCTGAGGAAAATCAGATACTTCAGGGAAAGCTTGATCGCAATCCTGAAGTTACTCGATTTGCTGTAGAGAATATCAGGCTTCTAGACCAACTTAGAAGGTAATATATCTTTTCTTACCAAAACAATGACTACGAAATATTCTCTCTTTTTAGCAGTTCCTCACATGCTTGCACAGATATCAAGAGTTCTATGAAGAAGGGGAGAGAGAGATTCTTTTGGCTGAAGTGTCTTCTTTGAGGGAACAGGTACTTGTGTGCTTCTAGAATTTATAACATAAATAATTTCCATTTTAGATTTCTTTTTAATTGAAGATTTTATGATTGGAAAACCTTTGCTCTATAGTTGCTTCAATATCATGGAAGAAACTCCATACAGGGTAGTTCAAGTCATGACATTCAACCTCGGGTCAGTCTACAATTACCTGAAGCAGTTCATGCTTTCCATTTATTGAACATTTCATTCCTTTTTTCATTTTAAAAATGTATGCTGAAATAATGTTTCTAAACTAGACCAACGTCATTATTTGTACTAGTATGGTATGAAATACGGTCATTATTAGAGTAGTTCACTAATTACTAATCAACTCCTAAACTAATCTTTTAATTGAAGCAGCAATTGACTGTTCATGTTTATGTTAAAATGCAATATATTTCTAACAATTCTTTTTACCAATGATGCAGGAAGCTCAGTGCTGCAAGAAAGAAAATAACTCCGTTGATCAAGAGGTTTTATTCCTTCGTAATAATTTTAATTTTTTTTCCTATCAAAATAGTGATGTGTGACCACTTCTTTTCATGGCTTGCAGCTGAGAAATACCCTTGATGAGTTACAAGAATGCAGGCGTAATTTAAATTATTGCTTAGAGGAGAATGCAAAACTTAGTAGGTATAATTTTGTAATACTGTTCGAGTTCATTTGGTTATATGCAAGCAGATTGGAGCTCCGAAGTTTGGATGGAAAAATCCTAATGGTTTTTGCTTATTTATACAGGGAAATAGACTCTCTTCACTCAATGTTAAGCAGCACAACTGCTGCAAAGGTAGTCTTGTTATTCTAATTTAAAATATACTCATTTTATCTTTACTATATATTGTACAAATCAATAGAAAAATGTGAATGTTGTTTACTTAGCGTCTGATGAACTCAATCATGTATTCCTCAGGCCTTATTTCCTTACACATTATGGTCTTTACTTCTATTGTTATTGTCTTGTACTGCATCTATGTATGAAAGTTGTGTGTCATGTGAAATAAAGTCTATTTTTTTTTTATCATTATTGTTTTCAGGCTTCTACAAAAGGATCATTTTCTGATGCTCAGGCAATTCCACATATGGGGGTGAAGCATGAAACTAAAACGTTAAAACACACAGATGCTGTTTTAAATTTGCAGCTGGAATTAGATATAATGAAAGTCATTCTAAAGGAAGAGAGGACTCTCCGTGGCATATTGGAGGAGCAAACAACATGCTTAAATCAGGATTTTTTTCTGGAAAAAGAAAGGCTTAAGCAGACAAGCAAACAATTAGAAGACGCAAATGATGAGCTGAAAGAGGCAAAATCAGTTATTGAAGCTCTAGAATCACAGCAAATATTATCTATTAAAGAGATAGAAGAGATAAGGAACAAAAACAACCATTATCTGGAGCTTATGGGGAGACAAGAGCATGAAATCACGACCTTGAAGAATCAACTTGTGTCTAAAGAGTTAACAGATAATTTGCCTTCAGATCATCCAGAGTTTGAAAACAGGTCCCCCTTACAGGTAAAACTTAGAAGGATGCATGATTCTCTTGAAAAAGCCAAGCAATTGAACATGTCATACCAAAATGATCGTGCATTCCAGATATCTAATGAGGAAGAGATGGATGAAATCCGTCGGCAAGCTGAAGCTGAAACTGCTGAGGTAATTGTCTGTATGCAAGAAGAACTTGCCCTGCTCCAGCATCAAGTAAATGATAGTCGTTTTAAGGAAATAGAAATGAAAGAAAGTATGCTGAATCTGGAAACTGAATTGAAGGAGGTGCACAAAAAATTGCACACTACTATTGATGATAATAAAAGTTTAAAGGAAGAGATTAGCCAGAAAGATATAGAACTCATAACACTGGCTGAAGAATGGGAATTATTAACTTCCGAGATTGAAGAAATTCTTTTTGATGGATGTGAGGCACTTGTTGATGCCTCTGACCAACTTGGTGACATAAGCAATTCATTTCCACAAAAAAGGATTTGGATTTCTGAACAAGTTGGCATGGTGGTTAGAAAAATATCTGAAAAGGAATTATTAGTTGATGAACTTAGAAGATGTTTGGAAGATGCAAGCAATAAAAGAAGTGATATGGACTGTATGTTGAAGTCCTTAAGAAGTGCAGCGTTGGTTATTACAGAATCCCATCAGAAGGAGTCTGCTGAAAAAGAAATAGAAATTCTCCAATTGACCTCACAGCTGAGTGAAAAAACATCTATTGTGGCACAGCTGAAGGAGCAGTTGATAATGGCTCAAGATCATATCAGTAAATCATCAAACTGTGCAACAACAGCTTTTGTGGTTGTGAATAGATTGTCAGAAGTGAATCTTGGTTACCTCAATGATCTAGAGCATAAGAGTATTCAACTTACTGAATTAGCAGAGAATAATCAAAGGAAGGATGCCCTTCTCATTGACCAATCCACTTCACTTGTTGAAGCAGAAAGACAGATAACAGAGTTACAGGAAAGGTGTAACGAATTATGGCAGAAGCTGTCTGAGGAGCAACAGCATTCCTGTGCTTTGGAACAAAAGCTTGAAGATATAGAAAAGGATGCCATTTCAAAGACAAGGGAGCAATTAGTGACATTACAAGACGGTGTCTCTTCAATCAGGTCATGCATGGCTTTTGCAGACCATTCAGAAAGTCTAGATAATAGAAATTCATTGGATGCTTGCACATCAAACTGTGATGATATTGGTGAACCAAGGGTAAGTTAATTTTCTTATAGATTTACTTTAGGCAATGTCACATTTATTCATTCATGTTAGTGGTCTCTGAATGGTTTTTATTCAGTATTTGCTATTTTGGCATTGTTGCAGAACTGTTCCAAATCACATCAAAACAGTGATTCAGATTCCCATTCTATTGAAGAACCTAGAGTTGACCTGGTCGACTTACCCCTTAATTTGGACAAATGTGGGTATCATATGAATGACCCAAAATCAAGAAGAGTTTGCAAGGATGTGCATGAAAGAGATGTTACCATTTCACTTTTGAGAAAAGAAATAGAATGTGCTCTTGAAAGCTTAAAAGAAGTGCAATGTGAGATGGCCAGATTACATGAAGAGAAAAAGGAGATGTCAATTTGTGAAACAAAGAGCCGGCAAAGCATAGAGTGCCTCACAAAGCAAATACTTTTCCTGCAAGAAGCTATGAACCACTTTGAAGAGCAATCCAAAGTCAAGATCGAAATACTCAGTCAAAAACTTAGAGACCTGGAGAAACATCTGAAAGAAGCCAGCTCCCATTGGTACCAAAAGAAAGAGGTAATCCTTTAGTGAATTAAATATAATGTCCAGTGTTGAACTTTTGTTGATGTTTTCTCTCTCTTTCATTTATGAACATATCAAAATTGTGTTTGCTTTATTTTCTTTTTTTGTGGTCAAGAGAGCTTCCCCAATCCCCATTCATGCTGATAGACGCTTGTTGGTGTTTATATATCGGACACTTGATAGACACTTCTTATATAAGACTTGGACAGTCCCCCTTGAGCTAGCTTTTGGGGTTGAGTTAGGCTTGGTTCTTCTCTGATAAAGATAACATTCAACAGCTTTATGCACATTGCTTCTTTCTTTGCAGTCACTGGAACTTGAAGTTGGGGAAGCAAAGATCATTGAAGCTCAGAAATCCCAAGAGGTATCATGTATTCTTGCTAAATTTGAAGAAGCACAAGATACGATGAGAGAAGCAGATATTATGATCAATGGATTGGTGATAGCTAATGAGTCAATGAAGATTGATATTGAAAGACTGAAAGACAGAGAAATGACATTACTCAATGAAAATGGTGCATTAGTCAACAATATTGAAAGCTTACAAACTGTTGTTGATTTGAAGCATCGAGAGATAGAGGACCTTGTTGAATCAAGTCTAGTAGAAACAAGGGATCTAACTGTTAAGTTGGATGATGTCATTAAAGAAGTCCAATTGGTGATGAGAGAAAATTTTATATCTCTGGCTAGTGATTTAGAGTGCTTAAAGTCTCAATGTCTATATTCCACTAAGTTGATACAGCCATGGCTTGAGAAGATATGGTCTGAGATAGTTTTTAAAGATTGTGCTATGTCTGTGCTACATCTCTGTCACATGGGTATTTTACTGGAAACAGTAACAGGGATGCATGCAGAAAATGGTTTACTTTCACATGGTTTGTGTGAATCAAACTCTGTCATAAGTGATTTGAAGGAACATAATTATAGGACAAAGCAAGAACTTGATATGTGCAGAATCTTGAAAGGGAAACTGCTGGCTGACATCAAGAGCAGTTTTGATCGCATAACTAAGAAAGAAGTTGAAGCTGGAGAGATCACCACCAAGCTAAACACTTTTGCTAAAAACATATCAGACCTACAGCTTCAGGAGGAGATGATGTTGCAAAGGTCTAATGAAATGGGATCCCAACTTGCTAAGCTGATGAGGGAATTGGATGTGAGTAATATAGACATTGTGACATCTCTTTTAGATCAAGAGACAATACTGAAACAGAAAGTAGAGGCCATTGAATCTCAAGCTGATTTGTTTATGGCAGATTGGTATGCCAAAGACTTTGAATCACTTGTCTATGCTTCTGAACTAAAAAATATGTCAAGTAATATAGCTCATATGGAGGAGTATTTTGTCGAGTACTCTATATTAGTTGAGCAACTAAAAAAAGAAGCAATCTTGTCCCAGGTAGAAACTCACATAGCAGAACAAGTTTTGATGAATAAGGAAGTTGAAGTTTCCCTTTTAGAAAAAGAAGTTCAGCGGACAAAAGTGGAAAGGAAGGACCTATTAGCAGAACTGAACCAGAGCGTCTTAAGGATTACTGAGATGGGAGAAGTAAATAAGGTCCTTGAACAAAATATTGAGTTTCTAAAGGATGTTACTTGTTCTAATAATGCATTGAAGGGTGAACTTGTTGATGTTAAGAAGGCAAGGGAGAGACTGCTGGACAAGATTCTTGATCTAGAAGCTGATTATGATAAAGTAATCGCTGATGTCATAGAGAAGGATGTGGCTTCTGAATTTTTTTTCCAACAGATTTCTTTACTTGAACTAGGAAACACAGAGTTAAAGAAAGTAAAATGTATGTTGGAAAATTCATCTTGCAGACTTGAGAATGAGCTGAGCCTAAAAGATTCAGAGCTAACTAGAATGCAGAACTTATTGGAAGTTGAGTTATCCAGAAAGGATGATGTAATAAAAGGACTGTTGTATGATCTGAGCTTACTACAGGAATCGGCATCTAACAATAAAGACCGGAAAGATGAAATTGAAAAAATTGTGGCTACAATGGAGGCATTAAAAGCAGATCTTGCAGCTAAATCAGGTGAACTTGCTGATGTTGTCACAAACTCTCAAATGCTTGAAGCTCAGTTGCAGGAAAAATCAGCTATAATCACAGCTCTTGAGTTGGACCTCTCAAAGGAACGTGAGGCTCTAAAGTTGCAAGTCAGTGACAATGAAGAACTTAGAACTAGTATTGAAGAGGCCTTGGCAGCAAGAAAACTATCCGACAATGAGCTGAGAGAAAAAATGAAGATAACCGAGAGCTTGGAGGATGAAATTCTGGAAATGAACAGTGTTATTAGCCAAATGAATGATTCAATTAAGAACCTGAGCAGTGATCTGGATGAACTCACTGTTGAGAGAGATCAGCTTCAGGGTCAAGTAATTTGCCTAAAAAACAGGCTTGAAAAAGCTGAAGCACAGGCTGAAGCTAGTGAAGCAATTGCTCAAGAAGCTCAAAAGGTATGCTTTATGCTTTATCTATTAACATTGAAAAATGTTTTAATGACATTATTATTGAAATAATCCATGATTCAACTTGATAAACTTTGTTATAGAGTATTACGTCTTAAGGAGTTGTATCTTCAATAGTTCTAACATGTAATATCATTTTTTTTTAATGTCAAATGATAAAGCAAGCAAAAGCAATATCAATTTGGGATTTTTTAATTTTCTACAGTTTTGTAGAGATAGAAAACTTTGCACATTTATCTTGAAGTATACAATTTCAAATGCAATTTTGTTAGTGAGAATCAGAATTTACAGAGATTAATGTGTCAAAGGAAGAAAAACATATAGTATAATTATGATTTTGATAGCCTAACATAAGAAGTTTGATCTTTGAAAAAAAAATCCTATGCTCATTTATTTGCTTCTGCACAGGGAATAAAATAAGCAGTAAGAAGAAAAGATGTGACCTGGCTGAATGTTTGTTTGATATTTGAAATAAAATATATCATTAATTTGCTTCTGCACAGGGAATAAACTAAGCAGTAAAATGAAAAAGAATAGTGAACTAAGCTGAATGTTTGTTTCGGACTGATGTTTCTTACATTGATTACAGGTGGCAGAAACAAGAAAAATGTATGCCGAAGACAAAGAAGAAGAGGTTAAACTTCTTGAGAGATCAGTTGAAGAGCTTGAAAATACTATCAATGTACTAGAAAACAAAGTGAGTTGTACTTTCTTTCTGGTGATATTTGACAAGAAGCTTGTGTACCTTCATAGGTTCACTTCCTTTCACAAGAAGCTGGTCATATTTGACAAGTGAGTTTATTTTGTTCAGGCTGACATCATTAAAGAAGAAGCAGAACGGCAGCGGCTGCAAAGAGAAGATCTAGAGTTGGAGCTACATGCACTAAAAGATATGATGCAAAATGTCAAAAATTTTGATGGTGACATGAGAAGGTTTGGGCCACTTAATCCCCATTCATGTCCCTTTTGTTGTGTTTATATGCCTTCTTTATAATAGGCAAATACAAATCTTACGCGCTACTCTATAAATCTAATAGTATACAATATCTTAATGTTTCTATTTCAATTTCAATTCCTGAAGATTTTTGGATGAAAAAGAGAAAGGCCTCAATGAAGCCGTAAATCACATACAGGTTCTTAAGAGGGAGTTAACAGGAAAGGATACAGAGGTAGGTTTATACAACGTGACTACTCATGTATCTTAGATTGAAGTTTCGAGGAAAAAAATCATTCTTTTCTTGGTTGTATCTGGCAGATTCAACAAATGAAAGTGCATATTTCAGAGCTAAATTTGCATGCTGAAGCACAGGCCACGGAGTACAAGCAGAAAGTTAGTAATTGTATTGAATAAAATGATCTTGGGATGTTATTATTTGTAATTTTTAGCTCAGAAATACCAGTTATGCATGCACAGATCAATCTTGCATCCTTTCTTTACAGGCTATTTATAGTTCTTTTATGTTAAGTATGTCGTTATTTTATATCAGTTCAAAGCATTGGAAGCCATGGCTGAGCAAGTCAAACCCGAGGGCCTTTCCTCTCATTCTTCCGTTGCTAATTCCTTCAATGCATTGTCTAATAAGTCTGAGAAATATGCCACCAAGTCTCGAGGTTCTAGTTCTCCTTTCAAATGCATAGGGTTGGGCTTGGCACAACAGGTAAAATATGAGAAGGTTGAGGAGCTGTCTGCTGCAAGACTGCGCATTGAAGAACTAGAAGCCCAGGCAGCATTTCGACAGAAAGAGGTTGACTTTTCTCTTCAACTGCACATTCTACAGTAGTTGGTTTTGCTTTATGGGCCTCACTTTGCCTTTACTTTTCTTTGTCCAGATATTTGCATTGAATGCCAAATTAGCATCTGCTGAGAGCATGACCCATGATGTAATTCGAGACTTACTTGGAGTAAAGTTGGATATGACGACTTGTGTGGTAAACTAATATACTTTTAGCGATTTCTCTAACAATGTGTAAAATATTTCATGTTCCGTATCCACATCAAAAACAAGCTTTCATGTTATCATTATTCTGAAAGGAATTATGCACTTGCAATTAATATTGGTACATGGTAAAAACAGGAATTATTCCATGAAAGAAAAGGAATAGATTAAATATGGAAAAAAAATGTTTTTACAAGATAATTTTCTTCTATATTCTTCCAATTCTTTAATTTAATTTTCCTTAATGTAGTCTCTCTTCGACAATGAGCAAGCGGAGGATATTACAGAGAAAGTTCAATTTCTTGCTCTAGAGCCTCAAGATAAGGTAGTCTAACTTTGGACTAAATTGTGCTATTATTATACTGGAGCTTATTTAAGCTGAATTGCTTGATCATTTCTGGAACAGGAGGTCGTTAAACTTAAGATGCAGCTGAATGAATTCATTGAGGAGAGGCAGGGGTAATTAAATTTCACATTCTTTTCCTATTTTTGAGAGATGGTGGGGTTTAAGAATCAAATTTTATATCTGAACACGTAAAATTCTTATGAATAGGTGGCTGCAAGAAATGGATAGGAAACAAGCGGAATTGGTAGCTGTACAAATTGCATTGGAAAACCTTCGACAGCGGGACCAGTTGCTCAAAACAGAAAATGAAATGCTGAAGGTAGAAAGATCAAAACTTTTATTCCTTCTGTGTTTTGGTGCGGTTGGTTTACTTTTCTTCCGTTTCAATTTGGCGGGACTTGCTTCTCTCATTTCCTACAGATGGAAAATACAAGTAAGAAGAATAAAGTAGTGGAACTGGAAGAAGAAATTAAAAAGTTGTCTGGTCAGCAAAACCTTCAGCAGCGTATTCATCATCATGCTAAAATTAAGGTAAGATGCCATCATTTTACTTTCCTCAAGGTTCAAGCAGATTTCGTCTTTGCTTCCTACCTCATTTTCGCAGCACTAGATATATTGTCAACATGTTTAAGCCAAATATAGTTTTTAATATCTTTTACTAATCTTCTTACCCTCACAAGGACTATTTTTATTTTGTCTATAATATTAACTCTATTTTTATTTAGTTCTTTCCTCATAAAATATTAGAAATATCATTAAGAAAAAATAAAATTTCATGGCTCTTAACTGGCAAGGTATCGTTAAAATATAATTATATTCGTTGAATTGAATTTTGAGACTGATCATTGAATTTTGCAACAGGAGGAGAACAATAAATTAAAGACACAGAATGAAGAACTCAGCGCAAAACTACGTAGGGCAGAGATCTTCCTTTCCCGCGTCAAAGAAGACCTTGCTCGTCTTCGTTCTTCTGCTGGCATGAAAACAAGTATTAATTTTGATGAGGAACAACGTCTGATGATAAAACTGAAGGTCAGTTACAAAAGAAGTAATGTTTTGTACTTAGTAGCCAAATATAACCAAATTGAAATATTTGAGTGAATAATGTCACAGGAGATCGAGGAGGAGAAAGTTGAATTAGCTCAGCAATTACTGAGATTGTCCACAAATGTCCTTAAGGTCAGGAACCTCTCCAATGCAATATAAACAAATGTTCTTATGGTTCTTTCTCTGCCCGAACAACCTCTCCAATGCAATATAAACAAAGTATGCGGTTTGTTAAACAGCGCCATTTATGCTTCACTTTCAGGTAGCTGGAATATCAAGACCAACATCGGACATAAATCCTTCTATGGCTGAGGACGCCCTACAGGAGCTCCAGAATAGGATAACAACTCTGGAAATGGAACAAGAAGATCTGAAGTTTAAGGTAAGCACACAATGCACTAAGTAGTGTAAATCGTTGACGAAGCCTTCTATATCAAATTTTAAAGAACATTTTGCTTACTTGCACAGAATAAAATTATCAAGGAAAAGATTCGATTATCCGAGCTCATGCCGCAAGCTTCTCCCCTGAACTTGAGATCTGAGGAGAATCGTTTGACTCCTCCACCTGGGGCATCCCTAGCTCCATTCCTTTCCAGTTTTGATCGATAGTGGAGCGTGTTATTGTATCATGTTGTGTTTAGTTTATTCTTTCATGTTATATTCTTTAGTTTTCCTGTAAATAACGTGTATGTAGTAATCTACGTGTAAATAATCTTTATGCACAGTTTTCTGAAAGCCATTCTCAAAGAGAATTATTTTTTGATATAATTGATGATCAAAGCCATTCTTCAAATTACATGAAATTTTGTTTTCATTCGTGACTGTAAATTAGATTAATTAAATTTAATGTACATTAAAAGCTGTTAAATTGAGTCCATGACAAATTGACAAATTCAACTAAGGGATCACCGTTTCGGTCGTCGTAAAAAAACTATGATCATGACATTTCTTTCCATATTTTTTCTCTTGGGTAACTTGGGGAGAAAAGTTATTACTATATATTTTGAAATTATCATACGAAATTAAGAAGATAATGAAGGATAGGTGAATAAGATCATTCATAGGAAAGAAAGTCAGATTTCACGGATTGCCTGAGTATAACTCAGCACAAAACAACTCAGGATTGACAACCTTATGTTGGATGATTCTCGTGAGAAGTATAGATTTTGTCTAGGAAATAATAAGTACACACAACCCATGATTTTATCATTTAATTTGATTGAATAGACTCAAAATTCAGCACAAGTTCCTTTTATTCGTTACATATCAATCCAGCTAAGGCAAAGCAATGCAGAATTTAGATAGCTAATCTTCACATTCCAGAAAGGAATAAGGCTAGTCACTAGCAGTGGCACTCGAAGATTCTGCTTTTGACATGTCAAAATCCTCCGTGACATTATATATTCCTCATTTTTCATGCAATATATGATTAAGATTAACTGTTTTTATTTCACTTGTTCTCACTTGATACGCTAATGAAAAAGGGAAGGAAACTCTATAAACAAACAGTTTTATTTGGTAAGTTACATAATAAATGTTTGCTTTAAAATTCAACATAGATTATAAAAGTAAAAAACACAACTATTAATTGAAGAATGATATTAAAAGCACTTAAAGAACAGCATTCAACGGTAAAGTAGATCATTTCATACTGTATATGAAAATAGAACAACTATTAATAAGAGAAGTAATGAATTAAGATCATAAATATAACTTAAATTCAATTAGGATGGATTTCTCACAATCACACAATCCTTCATGGTAGAAATTGAAGTATATTTGTACATATTTCACAAGCATTGAACAACTCAGTACATAACAATGTATTGACTCTCAAAGTCAGCTCAATGGTCTTCCACCAACTTACATAGCATACACTATTTCTCCACTGCTATCTAAGTCAAGGTCAGGATCTGTATCCATGTCCTCATCAATATCCAAGCTACCAGTAAGATCATGGTTAGGAGATTGAGACCCAGCTGCAGGAATTGTAGCCTCCCTAATTATCTGCATGATTTCTTCAATGCTTTGCATTGGTTGATCAGCCTCCTCAAACTGGTTGTTGGTATTCCCGTCCATGAGGTCACTTGGAAGGTTCTTCAAAAACCACTCGTGGTTTCTAATCTCAGGAATGGTTATTCTCTGTTTTAGAAACAATTTCAGTTGCTATGTTAAATATCAATGTCATCATCCCCCACACAAATAAAAGGAGAAGCAAGTAATATACTTGCACTTGAATACAAATTTACAATGAATAAATAACACAAGTAAAGGTATTTTAACTAACGTCCAATGAAAATTGTTATCAATGATAAGTTTGTTGATTATTATAATAATTAGCTTAAAAGTCAAATTAATAATGATTTCTGATTGGTGATTGATGATAATGCATAAAAATTAAACAAAAAGTAAAAATAAAAAGTTTACCTTTGCTGGATCAGCAACAAATATCCTTGATATCAGATGACGGCACTCGGGAGATATATGAACATAGTCAGGAATTGAGTACTGAACGTTCAAAATCCTCTGCAACCAACATGCATTAGTTTAGGAAAAGTAATTCAATCGAAGTACCACATTGATTGAAAAACAGGTGCAGTAAGTTACATGTATTGTCTTGCGGAAATTTTTAGGTTCCTCTGGATCCTCAAATGGATATGCACCCACCAACATGACATATAAGGTCACCCCACAAGACCACACATCTGCAATCTGAGTCAAACCTGAGTCTCAACATTAGTATGAAGTAAACAATTGAAAAACACGCCTGAATGCAGTGCTGTTTCATCGTCAGGGCTTCAAATAATTTATTGTAGATCATGCATGCATAATAGTATTCACAAATCTTTCATTTTACCCATGAATAATACAAATTTGAGGCCAAAACCATGTGAAGATTTTCCATTTTCCACATTTGGTTTTCTTCTCAGGAGGACGAGGAGTTGAAATTTTTGGTTAAGGTGATCTTATATCTGAAAGGGCGTGTAAATACCATTCTTGTTGGTCTTTCTCCATCAGTTAGCCGAACATATTGATCTCAGTTGTAAACCAAAGTTTAAGATTCTCATATTTTGACAAAACAAGAAGGATGAGGCTAAAATTCTCACATCATTGCAGAACATGATTTATGATTACTTTTTATTTTCAGGGTAAACGTAGATGCTAGCACTATACTTAAGTTTGTAATGCCTCGAAAGTAACGGATCCAAATTGCATGCCATTGTAGTAAAAAAGTAGCAACTTATAAATCACAAGCTATGAGCAAAATGGAAACTGATATGCCTCAAATCCACGTGGCAGCAGACAACTGGAAAGAAAGATTTGGCAATGATGAGGGATGCAAGTATTGAGTGGTAGAGGGCACAGGGCTTCATTTACATCCTTCTATGAAAGAAATGTCTATATGAACATGAACATAATCTATAAAAACACAACGCAGATAAACATCTTCATGGGAAATTATCGAAGTCTCAGCAGTTAGCTGAATTCCAAGTGATAGGAAGTTACAACATACCTTGCCATCATATTCCTTCTTAAGCAAAACTTCTGGAGCGATATATGCGGGGGTTCCAACTGTAGATTTTGGTTGTGAATGTAGAACTGAGGACTGAAGAAGTACGACAATCAAGATGCATAGGTAATGCGTTATCAACAAATGTCAAATAAAAAAAGAATTCTTGATCTTGGACTTGGAGAAACCACAAATTGATTAACTTTCTAAACAATGCCCAGTTGAAATTTGAGCGTCACAGCCTGGAATGCAGGTGCTATATACCTGAAGGTCTCTACATATAAATAAAGCAATATAGAGAATGGCCTGTACCTTTGAATAGCCAAAATCACAAATCTTCAAACGAGGAGCTGGACTACCATCCAACAAAGTGTTTTCCAGCTTCAAGTCGCGATGGCATACTTGCTTCATTAAAGAAGACCAACAGATATAGAAATTCAAGTCAGATATCTCATGATTCCTTCTGAACAACAAATACTGGTAAAAGAAAATACTACATGTGCTGAACTCGAGTACCATTGCATGACAATAGCTAACCCCAGATATAAGTTGTTGGAAGAAGAAGCGTGCCTGCAGCATAGAATAACAGAGATTAAAGACACATGCAGCAGCATTACACAAATGAATAAATGCCACATATGAACCTCATCCTCACTGAACCGCCCTGCATTGCATATTCTTTCAAATAGCTCTCCTCCAGAAGCATATTCCATCACAATTGCCAAATGTGTTGGTGTCAATATAACCTAAAGTCACATAAGCAAAAGACTAATTACAATACTTCAAAGATAGGAACAAATAGGATAAGACATTAGCAGTTTACACACCTCCTTGAACCTGACAATATTGGGATGCCTCAGAGATCTGTGATTTATAATTTCCCTCTGCACATTTTCATCTATCTGTTAAGAAATGAGCATGACTCTGCCGTCAGGTACACCAAAGCAATTTTACCAACACAGTCATTATCCATATTTTTACATTGAGAAGATCATAAAAGCAAAAGTTTCCCATAATTCATCTTGTGTTAGTAACCAGAGAGAGTAACAACAACATGAATTCCATGAAAGCAACGGCCAAAAAGCTCCCTTAACCAAAACAAGTGATCCTTGAAATGAGAATCATTAGTTAATCAAAAAACCTAAAACATAAATTCTCTCAAAAACACCATCATGAAGAAACTCAGCTGATTAAAATACGTAAAACATATTACCCCTTGAGAATGAAAATACTCAACTCACTTAGTCCCAACTTCCACCCTCACAACAGGTACATGCATAAACTTGATTGATATGCCCTTTTATTTTTTGGCTTCCGCGTGAATGATTGAGATACAATCAAACATTACAAGTAGATACCTCCTCCAACAAAGGTTCGTTACGAGAGACTAGTCTCTAATGATAGAGTTGACCCAACTCTAGTTAGTTAGTTAGTTGGTTGATTGATTGATTTGCACATAAATGACCCAAAAGAAGGGTAGAGAATGTAGAAGACAAACCTTTTCACCTCTCTCAATATACTTAACAGCAACAAGTTCCTCGGTGTGCTTGTCCCTCATTAGCCTGGCTACACCGAAGTTGCCAGAACCAATGTCACGCACAAGTTCATAGCGATCACTATCATGCATGATCGGCATATCCATTCCGGGCCCAACAGCCATAGCAGACCGATCCATTTGTTTAAAAAATAAGTCTTATTGCAGCAGAGCACCCCAAGAAGACGCTCAATTCTCACATTATTATCATTCCGAAAGATAAAGCAAAAGCAGAAAGGAAACACCGAAACCCCGGCTGAGATTGAAGAAAGGCGTGGCCTTTGACGTGGTTGGGCGTAGGCCACAGGATTTAGAGTTGGTGGGTGAAGAAAGAGACCAGAAATGGTTCCACCCCGTGAAAGCTTCACCAACCCAAGTGAGTGTTTTGGATTTTCAGAACTTGGATGTGTACACCATGTAGTAGTATTTGCATACTTTGATTGATTCCAGTTGCAAATTGGCGGTGACACACTCGTGAACTGTCTCTCTCTAGATGTTTGTGTGTGTCATATGATGTCTTTCTGTTCGGTGCTCTTAGTTTTTACTTCTTTTATATGTTACTGCAAACAACTTTACGTTATCCTTGCTTTGCCACACGGAAGAAATACACAGAGAATGAATACGAGAAATAAAATAAAATAAATATAAAGAGTTACTGTATTTTATGCAAGTAAAATAGAAGATTTTGTTTTAGATTACTAATTTGCCGTAAATAATTTTATTTATTATTTTAATACTATTATTTATTTTCTGGTAAAAAAAAAAAGACTAAGCAACCTCTCATTATTAATTATGGGAGTAAAATTTTATCAAAAGTTTATATTTTGAGCAACATAATGCATAATATTACAATCAATGTGTTATTTTTGCTATTTTGTATCGAAAGACGTAAGGACTTTGTTATTGTGATTATAAAATAACTATAAAATTTAACAAGTTCGTTGATAATTTTCTATCAGTTTACAGTCTATAGAGAAATATCAATTCTCTTTATACATAGATGTACAAAAAGCTTTTTTAACATACAAAAATAATAATACTATAAATATATAAACTTTGTAAGCATAGAAGTCTTCCTATTATTTATTTATAGTTTTTAAAATATTGTTATTTAATAACAATATAAACAATGTTAGAAGCACCATCTCTTCATCTTCAATGTAACCAAACCTAAATCAATTTCATGCAATGTAATAATCAAAATTTTAAGGTCTTCTACTTAACAAGAATTACTTTCTAATTCTATTCCTAATTTAAGATATATAAAAATGTTTAAGAATTTTGAAGTTCAATTCTATTTTCTTCTTAACTAATCATCTCATAAGATAATTTTTATCATTTTCACGTAGTTATAATGACCTGAGTAATTTAGTGATAAAAATAGTAAGTTAAGTCACCCTAAATATACTAACAAAAATATTCATCAATTTCCCACCACTTAATATTTTTATTAATGTAATTTGGATTATTTTATTAATGTAATTTGGACTATTAGTAAAAACATGAATATCCTATTATTAAACATCTGAACAAATGTTATTATCTTCTAAAAAGTACTATTTCACGTTACATCAAATTTCATACATAATTATTACCTAGCATTTCACAATCTAGTCACTCTCATTGTCAACATATACACATTAAATCATTATTTTTATATTTAAATTTCATAAAATACAAGAAACATGTTGGGTCTTACAAGGAGGATTAACAGGGATAAACACAATAATGAGACATAAGGTCAATTCATATAAGAGATTGATATCACTCTCAACCAAAAACCTTAAGATATTAGGTTATGGGTCATACTTCCTTATATGTTGTTCAACTTTCTTATTCTTAGGACTTAACTCACACTTGAATTACCAACAGAACATGCATAAAATAAAATCTTAGACATTAACATACATATGTATTATCAAACTTCAACCTTAACTCATAATTTTATCTATGCTTGATCGAAAACTACCGTGCTTGAGATTTAACTCTTAACTATTGAGAATATTACTTTATTATCTTTTATTTAAATTAGGTATTAAGAGATTTTATTATCTTTTAAGAGAGAAGGTAAAAAAATATTAGGTTATTATTTTGATTTAGGTAGTTATGATTGAAATATTATTGATATTTGATATTTTGTAATATTTTTACTCTTTATATACATAGAGTACATGAATAGAAATATATTCATATGATATATCAGAAATACACATATACAAAACCCTAAAAATTTCAATCAGTGGTATCAAAAGCTTTTGTTCAATACAATGGAAGGAGAATGATTGAATGTATGAGAAGCTGTAGAAGAAAATTATATTGTTGATCCACTACCTGAAAATTCCACCATAGCTGAAATGAAATTTCACAGAGAAAGAAAAATGAGGAAGGCAAAAGTTAAATCATGTCTGTTTGCTTGTGTTTCACAAATGATCCTCACCAGAATCATGATGCTAAAGTCACCCAAAAAAATTTGGGATTATTTGAAAGATCAATATGAAGAGGATGAGAAAATTCGAGGTATGAAAGTTCTAATTAATAAGGGAATTTGAGATACAAAATATGCAAGAGTTTCAAACAATTAATGAATACTCAAACAAATTGTTGGGTATTGCTAACAAAATAAAATTATTAGGTAAGAAATTTTCTGATTCGAGAATAGTTGAGAAAATTCTGGTAACTGTGCCAGAGAGATATGAAACATCTATTGCTTCATTGAAAAATACAAAGGATTTGTCTAATATTACTTTGGCAGAAGTGCTACATGCTTTACAAGCGCAAGAGCAACAAATATTGATGAGAGGAGATCATGTTGCTGGTGAAGGTTCTTTACTATATCATGATGAATGTTCTCTCCAAGCCAAGAACAAAAAATGTACAAAATCACGAATCTTTTCTGCTTGTCCTTATTGCAAGAAAAATAATCACACACCCAACAAGTGTTGGTGGAGGCCTAATGTGAAATGTCGAAAATATGGTCAATTGGGACATATAGAAAAGATATGCAAATCACAACCAGAAGAAGCCGTCAAGATTATAGAGGATGGAGTAGAAGGGGAACTTCTTCAAGTTATAGAGGATGTAGTAGAAGGAGAACTTCTCCTTGCATCAACATGCTCTACAAATAACAAATCCACAGGTTGACTTATACACAGTGGTTATTCAAACCACATGACTCATGATTGAGAATTTTTCAAAGAGCTCAACGAATCACATATTTCTAAAGTGAGAATCGGTAATGGAGAACAAATGGATGTGAAAGGTACGAGAATAATTGCAGTTAAAAGTTATTCGGGTATCATATTAATTTTTGATATTTTATATGTTCCTGATATTAGTTATAATTTGTTAAGTGTTGCTCAATTATTGGAAAAAAGTTATAAGGTGTCTTTTGATCACAAACTTTGTGTGATTAAAGATACAAATAACTTGGAAATATGCAAAGTTCACATGAAAGGAAAAAGTTTCAATTTAGATTTGATGAAAGAATAGTTGATTAAAAACGAAGATATAAAAGAAAAGTCAATGAAAAAGTATAAAGAAATTTGAAAGAAACAAAGGAGATGAAGTTGATAAAGGAAGAAATACTTTGATGAAGAAAATGAAGTTGAATAAAGATGTGATCTCATACAGGAAAGAAGATGACAAAAAGTAAAAACAAAAAAGGAGGAAAAATTATAAGCAAAATAAAAGAAAGAATATAAAATTCAAATAAATAGATATTAAAGTAAGGAGGAATGTTGAGAATATTTCTTTATTATCTTTTATTTAAATTAGGTATTAAGAGATTTTATTATCTTTTAAGAGAGAATGTAAAAAGATATTAGGTTATTATTTTGATTTAGGCGGTTATGATTGAGATATTATTGATATTTGATATTTTGTAATATTTTTACTCTATATATACATAGAGTACATGAATGATATATCAGAAATACATATATACAAAACCCTAAAAATTTCCATCATTAACTTCTTTTTTCACTTAAGCGATCAAATTGTATTTTGAGTAAAAATTTTCCCAAGGCCTTAGCTTATGGTTGCTATTTTTCTTGATCAATAAACAATAATAAACATATAGGACCAAATTAATCCTTGTACGTTGTTATGCAAAAATTTTCATAAAGCGAAAAAAAGGGAGAAGAAAGAAATATACGCACTGAGGTGTAATGACCAAAACAAAATCTCTTGTATTTTGGAGAGTGAAATTATACATATTTATAGTAATAATAAAGTTAAAAGACAAAATAAAAAAAAGTAGTTACAACGAAAAAATGGAAGAAATGTAGAGGTGTGATTCTTTTACAAAAAATGTGATTTTGTTGCAGATATGATAAGGTTAAGAGTCTCCCTCAAGTTGGGCATGGATATTGGTCATTCTGAACTTGGAACAAATATTCTGAAACACAGTGGGAGAAAGAGATTTTGTGAGGATGTCAGCAATCTATGAGGAAGAAGAGACTGGTAGTAGCTTAATCAAACCATTAGTAATTTTTTCTCGGAAGATACAATAGTTTATATTAATGTGTTTGGTACGTTAATGAAACATTTTGTTGGAAACAATTTAAAGTGTAGATTAGTTGTCACAATATATCAAAGTTGGACGTGTGAAAGGAACACCAATGTCATTTAATAGATGCATATGGTACTCGAGACATTTTCATCCTCTTCGCTTCATTACTAGGACTCATACTTGAGGATAACTTACAATTGATAGGAAATGAGGTAAAAATTAGCTTGCAATCTTGCATGTTGAAGCGCTGCAAGATTTTCAGTAAGTAATTCTTCTAAGAAAGCTAAATATTCCTATCTTTTCTGTCTATGTGAATTTGCATCCATAAAATCTTGTTTGTTGGTCCCAAGTCCTTCATGTCAAACTCCCTAGCCAATTGTGTCTTTAACTCTTGGATTCGATCTATGTTGGGGCCTATTACCAACATGTCATCTACATATAACAACAAGATAACAAAATCATTATCACCAAACCTATTGTAATATGTACAATAGTCTGAGCTCAGTCTATTGTAACTAAGGCAAATAATGAAGGAATGAAATCTCTTATACCAACATCTGGGCGCCTGCTTTAGACCGTATAGAGATTTGGTCAACCAGCAAACTAAGTTTTCTTGTTCTTTAAATCTTTC